TGGTGTTTTTCTATGTATCGGTTCATGAGTTATGCGTTATACAGACACACACACACACACACACAGACACACACACACACAGACATCATCGCGAAAATAGTCAAAACGGATTCAGGGGACCTCAAAACGTAAAAATCCGTCGAAAACTCGAGGTCGAAAAAAATCATGATTCCTATACTTTCCTTATATCTGTATACAGATAGGAAAGTAAAAATGTATTCTTCTAGATTCGCAGGTACTGTTCGGGCTTGGGCTGGCTGCACTGTCTAATAACTGCTTTTTTTTATTACACTACCCAACAGATAAATCCAATTACAGGGTAGGAAAACTTACAGATTATAAAAATACAAATGGTAACTATATAAAAAAAATAAAAAAAATAAAACATATTTACAAATAAGTACACAATATATATTAAGTAGTCGTTATACGTTTTATTGGAGCAATGCTGCTGGAAAAAATATCAAGTGATGAACCAATTTTATTATAGCAGTTGCATATTCTATACAAAGGTGAGTGATTTTGTAAGTTAGTCTTCGCAGTTGGTAAACAGAAAGAGGAATTTACTATAGACGTAATTCTAGGTACAAGCAAGTTTATCATACTTAGGACCTCGGAGCAGTCAGTAGATGCACTTACGACTTCTTTCAGTGATTTTACACAAAATCTGCTAAGGAGATTTATGTAGGGGTATCCGATAACTGGATAGAGACCATCTTATTTAAAACTCAAATATTTCAAGAACCTACGCTGTACTCGCTCTAATGTGGTTAATGTAAATATCATGTGAGGGACATCATATCACAGAGGCATATTCTAGTTTAGAGCGCACATAAGAATAATATAATAGTAACAGCGTATCAATATCTTTAAAGGTCTTAGTATTTCTGATGACAAATCCCAACATTTTAAATGCTTCATTGGAAATTCTACTAACATGTGAACTAAAAGAAAGTTTACTATCAAATGTTACACCAAGGTCCTTGAACTCAAAGGCTCTGGGAACAAATATATCAGAAATTACGTAATCATGATAAATAACATTGTGTTTAAGGGAAAATGAAACGATGCAGCATTTAATTGTTGATTGTTTTCAACACACCAGGTATGCACTCGATCAAGTGCTACCTGCAACGTGTTGCAGTCATCTGGTGATTTGATAACACTATACAATTTCATGTCATCGGCATACAGAAGGCAATTTACATCCAAATCGTTTACAATGTCATTTATAAATAGGTTAAAGAGTAGTGGATCCAACACAGAACTTTGGGGTACATCTGATGTAGCCACGTAGCTTTTTGAAGTATGACTTGTGGCATTCAACATACTGAGATCGTTTCAGTAGATGAGTCTTCAAATTTTGTGAAATTCCAAATGATTCTAACTTATGTACCAATAGATTGTAATCAATACGATCGAGAGCTTTTGTGAAGTCGGTGTTTATTACATCGACCTGTGTGTTATTGTCGAAACCATGCGAAATTTTTTGAGCAATACAAAATAAATTTGTTGTGGTTGACCGTCCCATGTAAAAACCATGCTGCTTCTCAGAAATCTGATTTTTTACATGTTCGAAGATAGGAGAGTATAAAGATATTTCAAATGCTTTAGATATGTTATTAATGATAGTTATTGGCCTATAATTTTTTATTGGTTATTTATTACCCTTTTTAAATATTGTTATTACTTTAGCGTTTCGTAAGCATTCAGGGAAGTAATTATTTTTAAGACACAAATTGAATAATATTGCAAGCGGAGCTGCTAAGGCAGATGTACAATCGTGAAGAAGAAAAGCTGGAATGAGATCGGGTCCCATTAATCTTTTAGAGTCCGATTTGATCCCATTTTCAATTTCATTGCAGTAGTTACGATATGCTATTTCAACATCACGTTTTATATCATTTCTGATAATTTTAAACTCTTGGGTAATATCTTGGTCATCAGTATTTTTTAATTTTGTAAATAACCTGTCTTTTCTCTTCAGCTATTTAATGCTGCTACTATTAAACCACGGTGGATAATTACAATTGCTCACTTTATTTTTGGAACATGATAATCTATTATTTTAAAAAAATTGAGTAAAAAATGTCAAAGGCTGCATTCACGTCTTTGACCTCAGTGACACCACTCCAATCAGCTGCAGCTATAAAGATCGGCTAAATTGGCTCTTTTATAGTTATAATATGTGGCTGAACTGTTTTTGGTTTTACGATATTTGGAAAGGCGATTGATATTTAGCAAAACAAGAAGTGGTGGGTGATGAAATAATTGTTTAACAAGTGGATCGTAAGCCTCATAAACTGTGCACTGACAATTTGACAGGACTAAGTCTAACAATCTGTTTTATTTGAAAGACGCAATAATTCCATTAATAAATAAAGATGGACATTTCAGTTTATGCAGTTATAATTTCCCTAAGCTCAATTTGGTTAAATTTAAAGTGAACTGCATCCAAAGATTAACTAATTGAGTTAATTTATCATAATTCGTCTTTTCAATACTGATTAATTATTCGGTTTGGCCGCGTTTATCCAAAATGTGTATTCTGTATCAAAATTTTTAAATCTATACACAATATAAATCATTTTAGGAAAAATATTATAGTTCAGATAAATTTTTTACCACCTCTATTCTTTCACTACAGTAAAGGAAGGGCTGAGCAGATGAGACCCGTGAAAGTGAATCTTAATCGGAAAGAGTTTCAAAAAGGAAACGCAATAGTTTTCAACGTTGTTGTTAGAGGTGAAGAAAATTCTTGAAAAATCAAAATTATAATAATTAATAATACATAATGAGCTACGCATGGTTAAAGAATCAAATCTCGTATTTGTTATTTATTATATCTTTTTACTTTAGTAAATATTTTAAGTGACATTTTTTGCTTTAATATAGACTTATTTAAAAAAAATTGTTTTCATCATTTATTTCATTATAAAAATTACCATATTTTGGGAATTATTTTTAAACGATCCCTTACAGTTAGAGACACCAAAAACCTTTATTGAACAGTAGTGTATATTTATTATCGATTTTTTCAGTTTTCTCCTTGTATTTTCGGCTAAAAAGTCACTGATAGAACGTTGTGTATGCATATGTTAAATACATCGCCCACGCCAGCCCTTATTAATATTGAAAATTTATTATTAAAGCGTTTATTTTTACTTATTGATTTTATGTTATACATATAAATACTTAATTTTATTTTGGTTCGTTCTAATTTCAGTTTGTACAAATTAATGTGGTTTTTATTGTTTTTTTTTTCTACACCTCACTACAGTTAGAAATTTGAAGTTGACGAATTTTCAAAAATGTTCGGGGACGTCTGATCAATATCATCAATACTCTCTACATAACCACAGTTTAAAAAATTTCTTGAAAACTGTGACATAACGATCGACACCTGCAACGAAATTGTACTGATATGCATTTTCATAAGTTAAGATAGTAGATATAGTCAACGTCAACTCATATACAGGGCCATTTAAAAGTTTGCAAATAATATTACTTTACATTTATATTCCATTTTGTTTGATTTCTATTAAATTTTTTTATACATTTTATTTAAAAACATTTGAATAGAAAATAGTGTACGAAAAGAAACAAAAAGTGTTTTTTTTGGGACTCCTATACAGGGGGTACTAATAAAAACTAGACTGGATATTTTGGAAAGGAATAGAAACATTTTAGTTTTGTAAAACCCAGTTTGCAGGCACTAATAGATTTTTGGTTTTTGATATAAATAGATTTTAAATAATTAAATTTGTAGAAGACGCTGCTCTCAAGAATTTTTTCCATGGGGGATCTTGTAGAAAATTCATTTTTTAGAAGAAATGACGACGACAGCGGAGCTGTGTAATGAGATACCCAACAAACTTAAGACTTTATTTATGGGATATTTCGACGGAACCCATTAAGATAACTTGCTATTCTTAACGAATACATGCTTATGGGAAAAACTTAAGTATTCCTCATTATTCAGTATTGATATTGATTGGTAAACGAACCAACAACGATATTATGATATGATCTTTACTTTTAAAAGATATTGTTCTTTCAAATAATTAACATATTTTCTTATAATTTATTGGAAACAATACTGCTTTTACCAGAGTATCGTTCTTTTACGATGGTATCTTAGTGCTCTGCCAATTGGCTTTGACAAAATTAAAATGTTTCTTCATACATATATTTTAATTCATTCTATTTACGCCTACATAAAACTCCCCAAACAAACTGCTATATTAAAATAACAACGACATTAATTATCCAATTAACTAATTAGTTAAATGGCGTTTATAATTTTACATCGTAGAGAATATGAAGTCTATTTATTAATCATCACTAAAAAACGAGGTTGGGCTGCAAAATTCTTCATATTTACACACTAAAACATTTTATGTACTATGAATTTTTTCTGATTTAAAAATATCGCTCTAGGTTTTCTATAGCCACCTGATGAACCCCTAACATGTATCAATACGAAATAAAACGAATAATTTGGTTTACATATTATTCAACATCGAAGCTGTAAATAATCTTGAAAGTAGTTATTTAGTGTTAAATATGGTCGCAACCACCCTGATTTAATGTCTAAATTTTTTCAAAGTAAACTGGAATATTAAAATAGTCTAATACGCAAGCGTTTGATCGTTTTTAACTGATGTCATTCCGCAATAATAATAGAGAAAAAATATAAATATATAATACACATACCATATATGGAAAATATGTGGAAAATATATAAAAAATATATGGAAAATATATTAAATATATTTAAGGTAGAATAAACAATCAATATAGGTTATACAATGGATGAAAAATTAATTCATGATAATTTTAATATATGTATTAGACAAATTATAATAAGAATAAATAACTATATTTGCTATATCTGCGATTTCCCGGTATATTATTGTTTTGGCATTTCTCTCTTTTGTTCAAAATTGTATTTATTGTTGATAATAATAATTCTAATGGTTTTTTCTTGTTTGTTTCAGATCCCAGAGTCACCGATTGGTGGATGATGTCTAGTCCGTTACCAACATTACTAATTTGTATATTCTACGCATATTTCTCTAAAGTCCTAGGGCCGCGATTGATGGAAAACAGAAAACCCTTGGACCTTAGGAACGTCTTAATTATTTATAATTTAGTACAAACTATTTTTAGTTCTTGGATTTTTTACGAAGTAAGTTTTTTTTACATTTATGATGAAACATTTATCTTTTAGATTTTTTATAAAATATTAAGAACGTAATTTTCTTACGGCCTCATTTCTTGGGTATTAATAGATACCACTAGTTACGAAACTTATTTAAATTTTATGATCGCGTTTTCTTGAAGGAAAATCCTAATTATTATTTATTTAAAGCATACTACTGTTTTAACCAACCAAAAGATGTAAACCAAACAATGAATCTAACATTTTTAGCATCTTCTGGTAATTTGATATACATAAAAACCATTCACTCTAAATAGGCTTTTTTTAAAAAATACAAAAATAATATACTTGTAATTTTCACACTCTCCTCTCCATACCTACACCCCAATGAATATTCTTGCATTAGTAGTGCACATTTGGGGTTCCAAGACTATTTGGTAACACAGCTATCAATGTTTCATGTTCTCGTTCATCACAATCAAATTTTTCGGTTAAGATACATCGAAGAAGCCTCTGGAGACAAGAAAACGAAGATGAGCAGATCAACGAATGACGCTTAAGAAGTTTCTGTAGGCTTAAAGACGAAGCAGAGGAGCTAAGAAGTGACGCAGTATAGAGTAGACGTTGAAGAAGTTTCTGGTGACTTAAAGACAAAGAAGATGAGCTAAAGAAGTGACGCAACATACGGTAGATGTTAAAGAAGTTTCTGGTGACTTAAAGACAAAGAAGAGGAAATAAAGAAATGACGTAGCATAGAGTAGACGTTGAAGAACAGTCTGGAGGCTCAAAGGCAGAAAAAAGAAAATGAAGGAGTGATGTAGAATCAAGGATGACGTGAAGAAGCCTCTAAATATAGATGCAGATATAGAAACATAACTATCACCTCCCTTAAGAGTAATATTCCAGTAGAATTATATCTAGAAATACAATTAACAACCCCTTATTACCACAGTACTGCAGACTAATCATTACCCAGTACAATGGAAATATGTTTAAATAAGTATGTTAGACAAGCAAGATTTTTATACATGAGTTTGGTTTCAGAGAACAACATTCGACAATCCAACAATGCCATAAGATTGTAAACTATATCAAAGATACTTTAGAACAAAAAAGATTTTGTATTGTAAGAATATTCAAGAAAACAAATGTTTAAAGTCCAAAAACAGAGTTTAATAATTAAAATACAGAGCAAAGCCGAGATGCTAATTCTATCAATTACAAAGCTTGACTATCTTACTTCCAATATTTAGTTTCGCCAACATAGCAATATTCAAATTTAATACAGCAGCAACATCACTCAAAGCGTATCATGGTAATATAAACAATAGAAGCCAAACATATTTTTAAAACCTTGCCTTACAGTATCTTTGCATTTTTAGACATTCAAGACAAAGGGTCAAGACAAGGGGTCGGTATCGAACACTTTGGTAATCTCTAATGTAATTCACTCCCGTTGGCATTTTTCTCAACACTTAAACAAGTTCGGCATATGACATTGAATCAAATAATAATATCAACATCTTTTGGAATCACACTATTTGGAACGACCTCTAATGTAATACTCGGCAAATGACTAATAAATTACAAAGAGCAATATTGTAAACAACTTGAGTAAGCACGTGCATTTTAGTCTGATAGCCTAATCATTTCTTATTTTGAAATTTTAGTACAGAGTGACTGAATTAGAACCATTCTGTTTTTAAATTGAAATTATCTTTAATTTCCAAACGATCCATATAAACATAATTTGGAATCGAATATTAGAGGAAAATAGAAAATGCAATAATATACAGGGTGTTCCGTTGAAAATAAAACAAAACATGGCCGTGGCCATAGCCATGGGAAGGAAAGGCTGAAAGTTAAAGATGTCTTCACTTATAATTTTTGACTTATTTTTGTATTTTTTCATAAAAGCCTCTTTTTTTTAAATTATTCAATTGATTATAATTAAATATTAAATCCAATATCAAGAGATTGTTAAATTGTATATTTAACTACGTCTTTTTTTGTTTTTCAATTTGTAGTACTTGATGAGCGGCTGGTGGGGTAGTTATAGTTTTAGATGTCAACCTGTGGATTATTCGAATAATCCAGTGGCGTTACGGGTAAGTTTAATAATTTTTTTATATTACTTTTTAAATTCAATTTGCTTGTTTTTTCGGTGCATATTATATAATAAAAAATTAAATATATCTCCTTTTTTGAACTGTCCTCCTCTAGTTACTATCCTATTTGTGAATCTTTATTATATTTTTTTTTCTTATGAAAGGATAACACAAGACAGGCTTATATACAAGGCAAAGTTATTTTAACTATATAGTATCGAAACCTCGACTAAATCGCATAAACTTTGAAGCCAAACTAAAGTGATTAGGTAAATTACACACCAATACTACTCAGGGCCGGATGCTCCCGTGTTCAATTTTCGTCTGCCATGCGCATGACGTTACTCATAGCCTGATTCTTAGTAGAGAGAGGGGAGTGCTTATTTTTTCTGTAACGCATTTATTATAACAGCTACAACAAATGTTTAATACAAAAGATGTTTATTAAGATTCGGATCAGAAAAATATTAAAAAATATAAAATGACTAATTTCATGTTACTTACGCGTTACTTTCGTTGTAAAATTGGTCTCTGGAATTTTTGGCACGGATTTTGCGGGAAAGGTTGTCTATATTCAGTTTATCTTTCTTCTTGCTGTAGTCTATTTTTATGTATGAGAGAGTAATAAAACAGCATTTCTAATGCAAAACTTAGTACGGTCATTTTAAATATTTTTTCAGAATAATCTAAATATTTCCTAAAATTGTAATAAATGTACCTGAGCTATTACAAGTTTTGGGTCTTTTATTGGTCCTTTATAAACATAAGCTGTACAGAACAATAGAAAGGTTTGGACAGGCCAAAAGCCCTGTGTATTAAAGATTACATAGCCGTATCTTAAGATTATTTTCAATAAGTACCTATTTGCCAATTTTGTTTCATTTTAATTCCATGAATTTCTTACAGTAATCGAATTATAAGTAGATAAATACCTTCCCACCAAATTTCACCGAAAATGCGATTATAGGTTTTCCCATTTAGTAAGGAGGTCCAAGTTGTGTATTCTTGACGGTTTACTAAATTTCGTTTAGTTGCAACTTGCAAGGTGCAGTGTGAATTCTAGTGTGATCATGGAAAATTTGGAAGGGCCGCGTCATTTACAGACAAACATTTATGTAAAAGTGTTGATGACACAGTGGAATTAGTTAGTAGTACGCTTGGTGTTGGGAAATCTACGATTTACAGAGTTGTTAAAGAAGAGAAATGTGGCGAGTTTCAAACAGCACGTAAAGCTCCAGGAAAACCAAAATTTCAATTAGAAAATCTTTTGAAAGAAAGACTTCGAAGGAAAGTGCATGCGTTCTTCTTTAGAAAAGAATTTCCGACAGTAGACAAAGTTCTTGCCACGGTTCGAGATGATAAGGATTACCCTGAAATGAGTCGAAGCACACTATGGAAACTTTTAAAAGAAATAGGTTTTCTATGGAAAAAGCATTCCAGAAAGTCTATTTTAATAAAAAGAAGCGATATTGTAGTATGGAGAAGAAATTACCTAAGGACTATAAAAGAAATGAGAAACCAAAGAAGAAATATATTTTATTTAGATGAAACATGGATCAACGAGGGACATAAACCAAATAAATTTTGGCAAGATGAAACTGTTACAAGTCGAAGACAGGCTTTTTTAAATAATTTATCTACTGGTTTAAATCCACCATCACGAAAGGGGCGCAGACTAATAACAGTACACATCGGTAGTTCAAACGGTTTTGTTAAAGGTGGTTTATTGACTTTTGAATCTACTCGTACCGGTGACTACCATGAGGACATGAATGCTGATGTCTTTAAAGAGTGGTTCAAACAAATTATAGATCTTCCTCAGAACTGTATAATAGTAATGGATAATGCAAGTTATCACTCGAGACTTATAGAAAAAATGCCCACAACCAAGTGGTTAAAAAAAGATTTACAGAATTGGCTAAATTCGAAGAATATTAAGTTCCATCCCGGTTCTGTGAGAAAAGAACTGTATCATTTGTGTTTCCTTCATAAAGAGAAATTCAAAAAATATGAAATTGATGAAATTGCAAAAAATCGTGGGATGACGGTGGTTAGATCACCACCATATCATTGCAAAGTAAACCCGATTGAACTGATATGGGCACAGATAAAGGGAGAAGTTTCAAGAAAAAATAATTCTTTTAAAATGAGTGATGTTAAACAGTTGTTTTTGGAGGCTGTAAATAATGTGAAGCCTGAAAACTGGGAAAAGGCAGTAAATCATACGATTAAAGAAGAAGAGAAAATGTGGAAGTTGGACAATATTACTGATGAAATGATCGAGCCACTCATTGTAAATATTGGTTGCGACAGTTCATCTTCTGATTTCGATTCTGATTTGGATTTGTAGGTAAGAAGTAGTTTTTATATTAAAATTATTATTTATGAACGTAACGTTGTTTAAAAGTCAAAGTTTAAACCCTTATACCTACATAACCCGTTTGACACAATGTTCTTAACATACCTTGTGGGAAATTGCACTTTTTTACCTTCAGCTGTTTAGAAGTTATAAGCAGGTTAATTAGGTGAAAATATAAGTGTATACTCGAGGAATGACTTCAAAAAATATTTTAACTGTCTACTAAAAGAAGTGTTACGCCTATGGATTATGAACGCTTTATTATTTTAATACTCTCTCATACATAAAAATAGACTATAAGATGCAACCACTTGTTGCTAAGGTTAGGGTCTTTAGGAAAACTAAAAAATCTTATAAACATTCTTAAGAAACATTAATTTGGGAGCACCGTCCCTGTTTGTTTAAAGCAAGACGATTTTCTATAAATTTCAACGGACTATAAATTCAAATTTCAATACAATCTATAAAAAATTATCATTTTCAACAGTTTCTCAGTGTATTTAGACCTTTTGGTGTACCTTCTAATAAACTCTTCCCCGCAAACATTTTATTGACCCTCTCGGAGTGCCTTGACCTATTTTCTATTGCTATTGTATGCGAGGCCGGTATAACGCCATTACGAAAGGGTAGGCGGGGGTCGTAAACACATGATATTGTATCGAATTACTTATGACATGCTTTCACCGGAAACAATTTGGAACTTCCCGGATAGCGTTGTGGCTTTTTGGTTTGATAGATGATTGAGAAGCCCTAATTAAATCAGTACGATGAATGGGGTGTAATTTTAGTATGAAAAATGTCACGTTTTTGCGTCGATCGCTGGTTTAAATCACATCTACTACTCATTCATAAAAACTTATTTTTAAACGTTGCGAAATTAAACATAGGCAAGGGGTCGTAAGGGTGAATATGACCGCGTCTGTCAGAATGTAAACATGGGCGTATCGTTAAAAAAGGAAATTGAGGAAAATAAATAAATCAATTTGAAAAGTCTTCTTTTCGAATTATTAATCTATATTATTTAATTTATTTATTTATTAATAAAACTCAAACAGGCCTTACGGCCTTTTTACATGAATAGTAAAAGGTCTTTACAAAAACATACAACATATTCCTTAGACCAAAATAAGTCGATTTAAGTAAAATTACCTTAGTACAAAGTTGCTTCGTTTGGACTCCAGAGGGCCTTGAAGTTACAATTTTTAAATCGTTTTTCCCATATAAATTTAAAACGGCATGTGCGATTTTGGTGAAATTTGGTATATTGGTAGAGTTTCATGTGGCAAAAAAATGGTATTAAAATTTTGTCCGATAATAATACATAGGTGTAGAACTTGATTTTTTAAATAATTGCACCTTTAAAAATTCTACGCCAATGGAAGAAAAGGAGTTTGAGTATGAAATTTAGATTGCGCAACTCATTTACTTTAAAAAAGGTACTCTTGATAAGACTCGATTACTCTCATGGTTTTCGCTAAATTTCTGTTTTAATAATTTAGAGTGTATAGGTTTCACAAAAATATTTTTATTTACAACATAATCAAAATAGAGATTTTACAAAAATTGTTCAAAATGTTCACCATTTTCACGCATTCAAAGATTTATACGTCGAAGAAAATTAAAATGTATCCTGTCCATAACTTCTTCATCATCTCTAAGATTGTTTATTGCATCTTGAATACGTTGCCAGAGTTGTTCCTCATTTTCTACAGGTTCCCTGTAAACTGTGGATTTCAGATGTCCCCATAAAAAGTAATCCATCGGTGTTAGGTCTGGGGAACGTGGTGGCCAGTTTACAGGTGCGTCATTACCTCTGCCTATCCATTTGTATGGATATTGTTCATTCAAGTGGTTTCTAACGTTTAAAGAAAAATGTGGTGGAGCTCCATCTTGCATAAACCACATATCTCTTCGAAGTTGGAGAGGTAAATCTTCTAACAATTCTGGTAACGTATTTTGTAGAAAATCCAAATAATTTTCTCCAGTTAATCTTCGTGGAAGTATGACAGGACCAACAATGAAATTACCAATTATTCCAGCTCATACATTAATTTTGAAAATGGTTTACGGCATATACATGTTCATTATAGGTATTAGTTATACCTCTTCTTGTAAAACCCGCTTCATCGGTAAAGAGAACCTTCTTGACAAAGTTTGGATCTCTTTCTCTTTGCATATTAACAAATCGGCAAAAACCCAAACGAATTTGAGGATCATGGACTAATAATTCTTGTACTGGCTTCTTATGGTATGGATATAGCAATTGTTCTCTAAGCACTTTATGAACGACTTCTTTACTTACTCCTAGTTCCCTTCCAATTCGTCTGGTGCTTAATTCTGGATCTTCTTCAACACGTTCTAAAATGTCTTCTTCAACTTTAGGAATCCTTACAAAACGTTCTCTTCCATTATCAACAGTGTTGGGAGCAAAGGAACCGGTCTCCCGAAGACGTCTCTCAACAGCAGCAAAAGTTGGGTGGCTAGGTACACGACGATTTGGAAACCTTTCAGAGTACACCCTGACACTCTCTCGAGCATTTCCTTCACAAAATCCTAATGTCAGTAACATATCGGTATATTCTGCATTGGTATATTGTACAGCCATATTAATAAACCACGCATATGTTTTTTTAATTATTGAGTCAGATAGAACACTTTCAATCGTTAACAAGAGATTAGGTGTTAAAACTTGACAATATTTTTATTTAGATGAAACTATGGAAACCAACAATAAATGTTTTTGTATACGTATTGCAGGCAAATAATTAATATTCCTCAAAAAATCGTACATGGCAAGAATCGAGTATTTTTGTTAAAAGTCTCGATTAGAGGTGTCGAAGAAGATATGAAAAAAGTACATTTTTGTTTTTCATCGTATAAAATTTTGTCCGATAATAATACATAGGCGTAGAACTTGATTTTTTAAATAATTGCACCTTTAAAAATTCTACGCCAATGGCAAAAAAGGGGTTTGAGTATGAAATTTGGATTGGGTACTCATTTACTACAAAAAAAGTACCCTTGATAACACTCGATTTAATAATAATAATATAATAATAATAATAATTTATTCAATTAATCAAAATTAATTACATTAATGAAATACACTTTGTTATTGAATAAAGGTACTCGATAAGTGGTTACCCACTTGTTTCGAGAAAAATAATTAAGAAAAAAAAGAAATAGAACTTACAGTAATAAGCTACGATATCCTAACTGCAAAAGACATAGTTCTTAATTAAATAGAAAATATTATACATAAATAGCAGATAGAAATAAAAATGAAGGAAGGGATAAATATAAGGTGATACGTCGAATACAATAAAAAAAAAACTATAGCAAATTTAAGGTGAGTACTTTTGATAGTTTTGATTCTATAAGTTCATTAATTTGTTTCCTAGGAATTTCATACATGAGTTTTTTAACTTCTTTTTTATATTTTATTTTATTACTAATTATTTTTATTCTTTCAGGAAATTGATTATAAATTTTGGGTGCTAGATAAGCAAAGGATCTCTGACTTAAAGATTTACTTAATTGTGGAAGAACATGTAAATTTTTATTACGTGTATTGTAATCGTGGTTAGGTACATTACTCTCATAGTTTTGACAAAGTTTGTATTTTAATAATTATTGTTTATGTTCTAAAATTACTAAAATGCAAATTTTGTCAAAACCATGAGAGTAATCGAGTCTTATCAAGAGTACCTTTTTTAAAGTAAATGAGTTTCGCAATCTAAATTTCATACTCAAACTCCTTTTCTTTCATTGGCGTAGAATTTTTAAAGGTGCAATTATTTAAAAAACAAGTTCTACGCCTATGTATTATTATCGGACAAAATTTTAATACCATTTTTTTTGCCACATAAAACTCTACCAATATACCAAATTTCAGCAAAATCGCATATGCCGTTTTAAATTTATATGGGAAAAACGATTTAAAAATTGTAACTTCAAGGCCCTCTGGAGCCCAAACGAAGCAACTTTGTACTAAGGTAATTTTACTTAAATCGACTTATTTTGGTCTAAGGAATATGTGGTATGTTTTTGTAAAGACCTTTTACAGATACCCTGTATAAAATTTGTTCAAATAGTTTTGAAGGTGAACACATAATCACTATCCCTCACAGCCATTGCTATAATACTTCCTGTTTTTTTTCTTCAGTGCATGAAAAATTTTACAGTATTTCGAAAACTTTTAAAGTTTTGTTTGGCCTTTTTGTCAGATCCCAATATATCACTGAAATTTAATAAAAAAAATATATAAATATTGAATACATAACAAGACTAACTGAAATTCTCAATGGTGCAAATTAACTTCAAGAAATCCCATGAATAACCTATAAAACTAAAAATATTTATAATGATAAAAATTATTTAAAATCTGTAAAAAAGTTCAGTGATCTATCACGAAGAATAATTTTTAATGTAGTAGCCTGAAAATGTTTATTCTAATCAAGGAAAAAGCTACATATTACCGACGAAGCTCTTAATATTTATAAATCTAATTTATATAAAATGAAAGAATCAGAAACATTCACCGATAGGTAAAATAGGTAAAAAACAGCAGGTATTGTCAGTATTCTTTGTTTTTTGCCTAAATTGTCAATGTTAAACTAGCGATTAAGGAAAATTATAATATATTTATTCAATCTTGAAGAAACAAACATAATAATAAAAACATTTAAATGCAAATTTAATTAAGAAGACCAAAAACAAACATATTCTGTTTTATAGTTTACCTAAAATTTCCCAAAAAAAAAAAAAAAAATAACTAAGAAAATAAAACAAAAATGTTTAAGGACCCACAAAATAACAGGCTTCCCAGTTTTTTTTGCAAATAATAAACTTTGTGGTGAACTTTACTGTATAATATGGAGTCAAATTACGTGAATATGGAAGGAATTACGGTTTGATTTCAGTAATAATAAAAAAATAATAAAAAATCGAAGCCAAAGACAAAGGATATCCTTTAATAGTAAAGTGAATGACCACAACCCTTTGTGTTCATCAAAATTGCAGGTGAAATATCACGCAAGGGCGTGTTCGTTAAGCTACGCTTAACTACCTCTCGTCAGTTCACCCCTCCCATTTCGATATATACCGAGCGTGTTCTAAAAGGTCTTTAAAATAAATATTTTTTCTGTTTCTTTCAATATAATTAAATACCTGTTGTGGCATTAGTCAAAGATGTAGTTGTTTTCCGGAGAGAAACAGTTGCTCATACACATGGCTTTGAGATTTTTGTTTTTCTTTATTTTAACTTTATTCTTTTTTTTCTTTTTTCAAGTGATTTTATATACAGTGATATATGATACATATCACCCTTTGCCACCCATAGATCTATAAAATCTAAAAATCTATAAAAATCTGTACTCGTCATTAAAAATCTACAAAAATCTATAAAACTCTATAAGAATCTATAAAAATCTGTAAAAATCTATAAAAGCCTTCAAAAATCTATAAAAATTTATAAAAATCTATAAAAATATATAAAAATATATAAAAATATATAAAAATATATAAAAATATATAAAAATATATAAAATTAATAAAAATATATAAAAATATATAAAAATATATAAAAATATATAAAATAAATATATAAAAATATATAAAAATATATAAAAATATATAAAAATATATAAAAATATATAAAAATATATAAAAATATATAAAAATATATAAAAATATATAAAAATATATAAAAATATATAAAAATATATAAAAATATATAAAAATATATAAAAATATATAAAAATATATAAAAATATATAAAAATATATAAAAATCTATAAAAATCTATAAAAATCTATAAAAATCTATAAAAATTTATAAAAATCTATAAAAATCTATAAAAAATCTATAAAAAATCTATAAAAAATCTATAAAAATCTATAAAAATCTATAAAAATCTATAAAAATCTACAAAATCTATAAAAATCTATAAAAATCTACAAAAATCTATCAAAATCTATCAAAATCTATAAAAATATGGCTGTACTTTTAATTAGTTGCATATTTATAAAATATCTTATAAATTTATTCTACATCTTTCAGATGGTGAGGACGTGCTGGTGGTACTACTTTTCCAAATTCACGGAGTTTTTCGATACGCTGTTTTTCATATTGAGGAAGAAAAATAGCCACGTATCCACCTTACACGTGATCCATCACGGATGCATGCCATTCTCGGTCTGGATGGGACTGAAATTCGCACCTGGTAAACTATTTTTTAATTCTCAACACAAAAATATTTGTCTACGTAAATTTTTCTAGCGCCCCAACGTGCAACATTATTCTAAATAAAATTACTTGGCGCGGGTCGTGTTAATACTGGAAAATTAAGTAAGGAGACAAGATCATTTTTGTAACAAACTAAAAAAACAACAACATATAAGTTTTCCTTGTGTTTGGCGATTTAGGAGGCCTCTGGATACCATTTTCGGTTGATAGAGACGTTGACAACCTCTAGAGACTAGAAAACGAAGAAGAGGAGTCAAAGGAGTAATGTAGGGCCGTCTTCGGTTGGAGCAGACGTTGAAGAAGGCTCTGGAGACTTAAAGACGAAGAATAGGAGCTGAAGGACCGGATGTAGGACAATCTTAGGTTGGGAGAAAAGTTAAAGAAGCCTGTGGAGATTCAAAGATGAAGAAGAGAACTCATAGAGGGACGTAGGACCTTCTTCGTTTGGGGGAGACATTGAAGAAGTCTCTGCAAACTCAAATACGAAGAAAAGAAGCTATAAAGTGACCTACGACCATCTTCAGTTGCGGGAGACATTTAAGTAGCCCCTGGAAATTTAAAGACGAAGAAGAGGACCTGAAAGACCGACGTAGGACCATCTTCGGTTGGGACATACATTCAAGAAACCTCTGGAGACCATTTTCGGTTGATAGAGACGTTGATAACCTATAGAGACTAGAAAACGAAGAAGAGGAGTCAAAGGAGTGATGTAAGGCCGTCTTTGGTTGGAGCAGACGTTGAAGAGTCATATAAAGAATAGAAGCCAGAGAAGTCATATAATGACGTATTATTATTTTCGACGGAGATGAAGTCTCTAGAGATTTAAAGACGAAGAAGAGGAACTAAAGGACCGATGTAGGACAATATTCGGTTGTGAGGAAACATTCAAGAAGCCTCTGGAGATTCAAAGACGAAGAAAAAAAGCCATAGAGTAACGTAGGACCATCTTCGTTTGAAGGAGACATTAAAGAAGCCTCTGAAGACTTAAAGACGAAGAAGAGGAGCTGAAGAACATATGTGGGATCATCTTTGGTTGGTGGGAGACATTCAAGAAGCCTCTGGCGACTCAAATACGAAGAAAAGAAGCTATAGAGTGACCTACGACCATCTTCGGTTGAGGGAGACATTTAAAAGGCCTCTGGAGATTTAAGGTCGAAGAAGAAGACCTGAAAGACCAACGTAGGATCATCTTTGGTTGGGATATACATTCAAGAAGCCTCTGTAGACCATTTTCGGTTGATAGAGACGTTGACAACCTCTAGAGACTAGAAAACGAAGAAGAAGAGTCAATGGAGTGATGTAAGGCCGTCTTTGGTTGGAGCAGACGTCGAAGAAGGTTCTGAAGACTCATACAAATAATAGAAGCCAGATAGTGACGTTTTATTATTTTCGATGGAGATGAAGCTTCTAGAGATTTAAAGGCGAAGAAGAGGAACTGAAGGACCGATGTAGGACAATATTCGGTTGGGGGAAACATTCAAGAAGCCTCTGGAGTTTTAAAGACGAAGAAGAACAGCCATAGAGACGTAGAACCATCTTTGTTTGAAGGAGACATTGAAGAAGCCTCTGGATACCATTTAGATCTTTCAAGATAAAGGATTAACGTAGCTCTATCGTCAAAGAGGACGAGAACTCGATTAGCATGTTGTTTTTTTTTTTTGAGGCTACGATACAAAAGTGATCTGGCGCCCTTACATTTCATTTATTAAATAATTTATTTTTTACAGGTGGTCACAGTACTTTCTTCGCTTTATTAAACGCCTTCGTTCATATAATCATGTACTTCTACTATATGGTGGCAGCGATGGGTCCAAAGTACCAAAAGTATATCTGGTGGAAGAGGTATCTAACCACTTTACAAATGGTACGTAATTTCCTCGAAGGAAAGTTGACGAGTTTTAATGTTTTATTTTTCTCGTTTCAGGCGCAATTCGTGGCAATTTTCACGCACCAATTCCAGCTGCTGTTCACCGAATGCAACTATCCCAAAGGTTTCATGGTTTGGATCGCCTTACACGGGATCATGTTCCTGTTCTTATTCTCCGACTTTTATAAAGTCAAATATTCCCATAAAAAGGCTGTGAAGAGTAAAGAAAACAACGGAGCTTGCATGGTGAGTAAAATAAGTCGCAATAAAATTCATCTATGTTACTATAATATTGACTTTTTATTTACTATAGCCTCTTTTGGACGACGACCTGCCCAACGGCATCAAGAAATCGCACAGCAACGGCACCTTAAACAACACGTACATCAAAAGCGAGTACACCGATTCGTGCGAGGCATGCTACTCGAACGGCAGCACGAAGGGCTTCGTCACGCAGTCCATAGCCAAACACAACAACAAAAAAATCGAGTGAAAAACGTTAAAAAACAACCGAGCGCACTTCAAAATCTTAATAATAAACATTACCGGGGCTTTGAATAAGCGTAAATGTGTTCGCCGCCGATGACATGTTGACAAACGTCAGTTACAGTAATACTCTTATTAAACTAACATTCGTGGCGTTTATCAAAATAAATAATCGTTTATTAATCAAAAAATTGAAAGTAATCGATAATTTTCGAATTATCGATTATTTTGGATTAATCGATTATTTTTTATGAATCGATTCTTTTCGATTTCGAATATTTTTGATGAATCAATTATTTCTAATGAATCGATTGTTTTCGATTAATCGAATATTTTCGAAAATTACCAATTATTTTGGATTAATCGAATATTTTTTATACATCAATTCTTTTCGAATAATCGATTATTTTTGATGAATCAATTCTTTTAAATTAATCAATTATTTCTAATGAATCGATTCTTTTTGATTAATCGCTTATTTCTATTAATCGATTATTTTCGATTACCCAATTATTTTGGATTAATCGATTATTTTCCATTTGGATTAATCGATTGTTTTAGATTAATCGAAAGATCGATTATTTTCCATTAATTAGTTATTAAGAAAATCGATTATTTTTCGATTAATCGTTAAATTTATTCGATTAATCGGTCATTAAGTTAATTCAATTATTCGAATAATCAAAATCACTTTGATAAATCGAAAATAATCGATTAACGATTAAAAAAATGAAAATAATCGATTGTTTTGTCCATTCCTAACGAAAATGCAGGTTTTCCTTAAAAAATAAATCAAAATCGTACTAACTAGGTAGATGATGCAAGGTAAGTTCATAAAAAAAGAAGAAAGCCTTTAGTTGACAGCTGTCAGAATTGAGACCGTTACTTCTTCACCATCGTCGCTAAAAAGTACTAGACATCAATATTGTTATCTGTTACGCCTTTTTGATGTTGACGTCTCATTTTTCTTCCTCCTTTCTTAGTGTTTTGTTTTTTACGTCTGTCATCCATTCTTGGGATACGATTTATTCGTTTCCTATACATTTATCAATAATTTTTTATGTATAAGAGCATTTCTGTCATTGATCGAAGGTATAAATCTGTTTCCTAATTCATTTCACCTTCAAAAGATTATTCGTTGCTATTTGGCTGGTTGTTTCTGTAAGTAAAAGGCCGATAATTGACAGAAGTACTTTGTTAATTAGATCAAAAAAGCTGTTTTAATTAGATAAAGAAACTGTCACAAATAACGATATTTTATCTTGGAAAACATATTTCAAAGAATTTAACGTTTTCTCTTGACATTTGACGTTTTTTTTTGTTGACAGCTGAAACCAAAAACGACGTTTTCTCTATTAAATTAACCTAATTGATCACAGCTATGTTTTTTATGAGGAAAAGTAATTTTTTTATAAAAATAACCTTTATTTGTGTTTTGTCGTCGACATCTGAAGTTTTTGTCATCTGTCGCTTGTCAGAAACTATCATAATTTGTGATGTTTCTCCTTGGAAAACATCTTCCAAAGAATTCAACGATTTCTGTTGACATTTGGCAGATATTTTTTTTGGTTGACAGTTGTCAACAAGAGCGACGTTTTATCTAAAAACTTAATCCAATTGGCCACAACTACGTTTTCTATAAAAAAAAGTAATTTCATTATATAAAAAAAACTATTTTAACCGTTATTTACTTTTTGTTGTTGACATCTGACGTGTTTTTCTTCTGTCGCTTGTCACAAGAAATACTTTGTTAATTCAATACCAAAGTTAGTGAAGTTCCATCTTGGAAAACATCTTCCAATGAATTTAACGATTTCTATTGACAGTTACCATTTTTTTGTTGACAGTTGTCAATAAAAACCACGTTTTGTTTACCAAATCTCCAATGGGTATCAGCTGCGTTTTCTATATCAAAAAAAGTAATTTTATTGCAAAAATAACAGCTTTTGTCATTTATTTGCGTTTCGTCTTTGACATTTGGACGTTTCTCATCTGTCGCTTGTCAGAAGAATTACTTTGTCAATTTAATAATGAAGTTATCAGACAGAGATATTTCATCTTGGAAAAAATCTTTCAAAGAACTTAACGATTTCTATTAACAGTTGCCATGTTTTTGTTGACAGTTGTCAATAAAAACCACGTTTTGTTTACCAAATCTCTCCAATGGGTATCAGCTGCGTTTTCTATATCAAAAAAAGTAATTTTAATTCAAAAATAACCGATTTTTTCGTTTATTTTCGTATTGTCATTGACATCTGACGTGTTTTTGTTTTGTCGCTTGTCAGAAGAAATACTTTGTCCCAATTGGTCACAGCTGCGTTTTCTATTTTAAAAAGTAATTTTATTGCAAAAATAACAGCTTTTGTCATCTATTTGCGTTTCGTCTTTGACATTTGGACGTTTCTCATCTGTCGCTTGTCAGAAGAATTACTTTGTTAATTTAATAACGAAGTTATCAGACATAGAGATATTTCATCTTGGAAAAAATCTTTCAAAGAATTCAACGATTTCGTTGACATTTGGCGGTTTTTGTTTGTTGACAGTTGTCAATAAAAACGACGTTTTATCTACAAAATCAACCCAATTGATCACAAGTCCGTTTTCTATATAAAAGAAGTAATTTTATTGGACAAATAACTGATTTTGTTGTTTATTTGCGTTTTGTCATTGACATTTGACGCGTTTTTCATCTGTCGCTTGTCAGAAGAATTACTTCGTCAATTTAATTACGAAGTAGTAATGTTTCATCTTGGAAAACATCTTCCAAAGAATTCAACGATTTCTGTTGACATTTGGCGGTTTTTGCTTGTTGACATTTATCAATAAAAACGACGTTTTATCTACAGAATTAACTCAATTGTTCACAGCTGCGTTTTCAATAAAAAAACAGAGGAATTCAGTTATAAAAATAACCTATTTTGTCGTTTTTTGCATTTTGTCGATGACATTTGACACATTCATCATCTTTGCTTGTCAGAAAAATTACTTTATCAATTGAATAAAAAATCTGTTTCAATTAGTGATTTCATCCTGAAAAACAACTTCCAAAGAATTCAACAATTTCTGTTAACAGTTGGCGATTTTTTTTTGTTGACAGCTGTCACTAAAAACGACACTTTATCAACAAAATCTATTTAATTAGTCACAGCTGCGTTTTCCTTGAAAAAAAAAAATAGTTTCATCACAAAAAAAATTAGTTTTCGTTTTATCGTTGACATTTGACACGTTTGTCATTAATGCCAATTGTCGTCCGGCGGTTGATGCGATTTCCGGCATTTCCGGTGACACTTCGTTTTTTTTTTTATTAAAGTTATTAAAGCTAGGTTTTCACGATTTTTACTCTATGATGTTTCTTTTTTAATTCAAGGATGTTTTTTGTGTGAATCGAGCTTTACACGCGTTATTTTTGAATAAATAACTCGGATAATTATTATTGAGCCAATGGCGTTATTTATTCTATTAAGTTATCGAATATGATTTGGAGTAATTATTTCAGTTACATGTTCTCCAAATAGATTATGAATACAAGAAAATCGAAATAAAATTATTATTGTTTTGTACGTTAAAGAAAAAAAATACTTTTTCGATGCGAGGGTCCATTTCTGTTATAAAAATAACTTATACAATTTATTTACGACCATTAGTGCCTGGATGCTACAACTTAAACCAAAAATAATGATAAATAAATGAACGTTACGTTAAATAACGCTCGTTTTTTTTCGCGGGAAACCAACACAATCACAATTCGATAGGAAATTTGACGTTTGACAGGAAATTATATCGTACCCTTTTACGGAAGCCATCCGATTAGACACGTGAAACGTCAAATTGTTGTCTACTGTCAAATAACTGCCAAAATTCAAATATCAAACTTTAAATAACTGTCAGACGTCAAATAAATGTCAAACGTCAAATATTACTAGTTTAGTCACTACTTTGAGATGCGATGTTGGTTTTTCGATCGAATTTGAACGTTTTCGAATCAAAAGTCGTTTTTTTAGCTTAGCTTTTCGTAAATTGTTGAAAATTGTTGCACAAACTGTGGTTCGCGTTGCCCGTTTTACGTTGTTGTCTCCTTTTTGTACTTATACGCGTTGTTAAAAATGGGGTGGGGTGAAATATTGGGTGGGATGGGGATAGAGGGTGCATGCGGCGCTTTATTATGGCAACGGTAATAATAGTGATATTAATCAATTTTTTTTTTAATTCGTACTGGTAATAAAAAAAAACCAAAATACATTGTTTTTAACTCTTTAATGTTTTCGTTTTTTATGCATTTCAGTGTGGTTTTTCTCACTTTATTATTATTTTTAATCGATTAACTACTGATATAATTAAAGTGTATTGTACAAAAAACCTAGACGTACTGTTTCGGACTTTATATATTAATTTATTTCACTTACAGGGCGGCAATCGAATCAATAGATACAACGTAGCATTAATTTTTGATGTATCTGTAAAATTTACAACATCTGTCAAATCTGTTACGTCATCTATCAAATATATTACGTCAACTGTCAAATTTTTAACATCTATCACATTTATTGCATCGTTTGTCAAATTTATAATTTTTTCTGTCCAATTTATTATGTCACGTGGCAAAGTTATTAAGTTAACTGTCAAATTTATTAAGTTATGTGTCAAATTTATAACGTCGTCTGTTAAATCTTTTACGTTATCTGTTAAATGTATAACGTCATTTGTCTGTGAAATTTACTGCATCATTTGGTAAATTTATTACGTTATCTGTCAAATTTATAATGTCACTTGTCAAATTTGTAACGTCTTCCGTTAAATTTATAACGTCATCTGCAATATAACTTCTCTTAAATTTATAACTTCATACACCTTTGACCAATTATCTGTCTATCAAATTTATAACGTTACCTATTAAATTTGTCAAATTTTTAAGATGATCTGTCAAATTTATAAGATCATCTGAGAAATTTATAAGATCCTTTATCAAATTTTATAAGTTTGTCAAATTTATAACGTCTTTTGTCAAATTTATGTCTTTTGTCAAATTTATAACGTCTTTTGTCAAATTTGTACAGTCTTCCGTCAAATGTATAACTTCATTGGTCAAATTCATTACGTCATATGTCTAATTTATAACGTAATTTCTCAAATCTACAAATTCATGTGCAAAATTTATAGAAACATCTGTCAAATATAGTACGTCATCTGTCAAATTTATAAGTTTGTCAAATTTATAACGTCTTTTGTCAAATTTGTACCGTCTTTCGTCAAATTTATAACTTCAGCTGTTAAATTGTCTTATCTGTCAAATATATAACTTCGTTGGTCAAATTCATTACGTCATATGTCTAATTTATAACGGCATTTCTCAAATCTATAACTTCATGTGACAAATTTATAGAAATATCTGTCAAATATAGTACGTCATCTATCAAATTTATAAAATCATGTGTCAAATTTATAACATCTTTTGTCAAATTTATAACTTCATCTGTCAAATTGCCTTATCTGTCAAATGTATAACTTCATTTGTCAAATTCATTACGTCATGTC